GCAGCATCCACGCACCAGCAGTGCCCGGAGCTGCTGTGGCACTGCAGGGGCCGGTACCGGCCCTGCTCGTCACACTGGGGTACGTGCCCGTCACCCAGGGGTGCCACCTCCCGCGGGTACATCCGCTCGTGCTGGCAGGGCGTGAGGCGCTGCGGGTTCCCTTCTGGAAAGCCGGAAAAGAGGAGAGTGAGGCTGGGAAAGCTGTGCCAGGCAGAGAGGGCACGGGGGCGAGCGGGCACCTCACCGTAGGTGCACTGGAAGCCGTCACCGGCGTAGCCAGGCCGGCAGCGACAGGAGAAGGAGCCCGGGGTGTTGTAGCAGACGGCAGCCGGGTGACACGGGCTTTGGGCACACTCATCCACGTCTGTGCAGGGGGAAGATGGGATCAGCGGGGACAGGGACACCCCTGATGGGATCAGCCGTGCTGGGGGGTCCCTCCCGTGCCCACCTTACCGGAGCAGTGGATGCCATCGCCGGTGTAGCCGGGCAGGCACTCGCAGGTGGCGCGGCCGTCACCGCGGGACAGGCACCGCGCCCGGTCCCCCGGAGCGCAGGGGTGCCGCCCGTCCTCGCACGGGTCACTCGGCGGTGCCAGCGCTGTGGGGACACGGGAAGGGGTGGTCAGAGCATGTCCATGGGGCACAGGAGTTGGGGACACCCCGGTTTGGGGTCAGCACTTACGCACACACCCCTGCCCGTCCCCCGCAGGCCGGTGGCCACTGCGGCACTCGCAGCGGAAACTGCCCGGCACGTTCAGGCACACGGAGAAGGGACCGCACTGGCTCAGACCCTCGGCGCACTCGTCCACGTCTGGGGAAAGGAGGAGACACGGGGCACCCCGATGGTGGTGGGACACCCCCTTTTTCATGGTCTGACAGGGAATATCCTGCCCCACGCTGCCCATCCCATGTCTGTCACTGAACTTAATCAACTACAGAATTAACTTTTTAATCAGCTCAAAATAGAAGGGAAAAAAAGAACAAAATTGCTTTTGGTTAAGTCATGACTTTTGATAAAGAAGCATTTGTTCAAGGCACACCAATATTCTCGACTATCTGTGGTTTAAAACTTAGTTTCCTTCTCCTGAAATTGAGTGATCAGGTTGTTCACTTAACCTGAGATTTTAGGAGAAAGCAACCTGTTCCTTATTGAAAGGATCCTTGAATTCCTCGCCAGCATCACTGTGCACAGTGTGTGCATCAGTGGCACTGGGCAGCTTCTTGTGGAAAGAGACTCCAGATTTGGAAGATAAATTTGCAATGTGAATTTTGGTGTGATAAGAAAGCAACAACGAAGATGGCTGGATTTACAAAACGCAGGGATTATTTTTTCCATGGCTTGTGCTCTTTTCCTTCTCTCCTTTTTTTTCCCCCCTCCTCTTTTTCACTTGCTCCTGGCACGTTTCCCCAGAGACCTCCAGCACCCTGCCTCGCTTTCCCCCCACGATGCACCCCTATGCTTGGCGAGGCTCTGTGACATCCCAGCATCCCAAATACCAGTGAGCACCGTGGTGCCTGATGGGGGAGAGATGCCCCAGCTCCCCCCCAGCTCTCCCCCAGCCCTGCTGACCTCGGCAGCCCCGTCCATCCTGGCGGTACCCGGCCGTGCACTCGCACGTGTACTCGGTGCCCACGCCGGGCTGGCAGCGCGCCGGCGCCTCGCACGCGTGGGTGCCATCGTGGCACGGGCTCACCACGGGGTTCTCGGCCTCATCTGCGGGCACAGGAGGATGTTGGGGGGAATAAAAGATGTGGGAGACACAGGGAGTGATGATCCCCACTTATATCCTGTGCTGCAGCACTGTTGTCCCACGCAGGGAACCACGGCCGTGCCACCCAGTGCCACCCCTCAGCTCAAGCTGCTTGGAAAACCCCTCCTTTTTGGCTGGTTTTGGGCAAAGCCAGCACAAAGCAGCTTTGGGAGATGGTGGCATCCCCGCTGGGGGCTGGCAGCCTGGATTAGGCACCTGGATTAGGAGTGGGTGCTTGTTGGAACCCTGGAAACCAGGAATTTTAGGCTGTGTTGACAGCTCATCCCCAAGAAAACACTGCTTTTGACCTGAGGCCGTGGAGAAGGCTTCCAAAATTGAGTGATAGAATTAGAATCACTGATGTGTAGTTTGAATAGAAGTGTGTAATATCACATGGTGGAGAACTTAGGATTTAAGGCTTTAGAATATAGCAA